CTCTCCACCCAAGGCATCATATTGACTCATCATACACAATTGTAATTGTATATATGTGACTCAATAAAATATTATTATTATAATATTATTATTAATTATGCTTCTCGAAATAAGAGTCCTTCAAACTAAAACCTATATAAAAATGTTTAAATTAATTCACCACTCAAAATAATAGCTATGGTAATTTTTTCAGTGTCTCGCTTCAACTACAAAATTATAGAGTAATTTTTTCTTAACAAACTCTGTTCTTAAAAATTAAATCTGTAAATACAATTTTCTTTTTTTATGTGAGTACTTTTAAAATAATTTTGAGTGACAAAGTGATAATTTTCAAAAATTACAAAAACCGGATTTTCTCAAATTACAAACATCTTCATGTTTTTTTCAAGCTCAAACAATTTTCATTAAAACCCTAAATTTCTGAAAATTGTATATTTTTCATCTTCCGTTTTAAAACTTTTGGAAGTTTGATATGCAGGTGATTGTAGAAGGGAATATGCTAACTTCTCACCAAACCTAATTATCTGAGTTCAAATCTAATCATGGTCAAATGTTTCTGAACACTTTTGCAGTTTCAAATAGTATTGTAATATTCTAATCATTACAAGTAATGTGAGAAAGTGCTTGTTGTTGTACCTCCTCTTGTTTTATATTGTTTAGAAAATGTACATATTGTTAAATTTCATAATAATGTTGATTGTATTTGGCATCATTTCTGGGTTGGTAAGCAACAGTACCAGTAAATAGAAAACTGCAGATTGTTCAGGACTTTGGGTAAGTATTTTTGTTGCCATTCCTTTATTAGTTTTATTCTTAAAATTGGCATATGTATTAACTTTTTACATATTTCATTTCATTCAATTTCAACCAAAAATGTATAACAAAAGAAATAAAAGTGAAATACAAAATTGGCTTCAGTTCTTATATCTGTAAAGACAGTTAGATTGTTATAATAATCTTATTTTCAGTCTACCTTCCATAATTTCTTGTCGCCTGAATATTTTTCTTCAATTTTGGTGCCCAAAATTAGGAATATATTAAATAGAAGTATTTTAGCTTTATGCACATTTCCAACAATTTATCAATACTATTGCATTTGTGAGTCAATGTGCTTCAGAAGACTTCTTTTAAAGTGTTTTGAAAACTCAAAAATCCACATTTTTCAATTCCCATATAGATGAGGTTTTACGCTCCTTTAATCTTGTGATGGTAATATTTCGGATTCTACTTTTAGAAAACCGAAAAATGGAGAAAATTAAAAAGAATGGACTTTGGTGGTGATAGATGGCAGCTGTTCAGAATATGTGGCAAGTCAGAATAGTTAGCCGACACCTGTGCCATTCTGTAGCACCACCAATTTATAATACTTTCTCGTATACGTAGTATAGAGAAAGTTATGTAAGGCTGTGAAAAATTTATTTTGACATTTCAAAGGATATACATGTTTTGTGGTCCCCTGATACCGAAAGTGTGTTGTTTTATTTTCTCCAAAACGTCTATTCGTCTGTCCTGTGAACATTGCTAGTGCCTAATCTATATGTAGTTTTTTTTTCCAAAATGGATATTCCCTGGATCTTGCTCGAATCAAAGTGCTGCGAATTTTAAAAACATTTATTTAAAATTTGGGGGTAAAAGATTTCTTGAAATGGCTCCAAATCTTTTCTTAAAATGTCCTGTGACATTCGAAAATTGCATAAGTTTGACTGTTTTCGACATCTTCCTACTTCTTTAAAATTGCAGATAAAATTTTTTTCTTTCATTGAAATTTTTTGTCCCTAATTAGTTTTTTCATTAAGGTCATGTACATTTTTTAAAACTTTTAGTACTTTTCGTGGGATATATTGTAAAATTTGTAGAAATAACAAAAAAACGTATTTTCTCAAAAAAGGTTTCAAATATTTTACAAAATTTTTGGTAGGGGTAATTTGAAATGAACTTTATGAGATAACATAAACATTATTTCAGTCTATTATTTCTTTTAATTACAAAAATCTAATATTTTGAATAGCCTCTCATGTTAATATTTACATTAGAGGCAATTTGTTCACATTATTGCATTTACAAGTGCATGTGCTTTATATGATGTCTTAAAGTTTCTCCAAGAAAAACAACAAACATTTCTGTGAAAACAAGCTCAAAATTCAAAATTATCAGAAAGTTCAAACGCCATTTTCTGAAAAATAGCCTCACTTTTTTCCTTCAAACTTTTGTACAGGTAGTGCTAAGTGCAGTAAGTTTAAAATGACATACAATGCATTTTGCTGTATTCTTGTGTTTTTCCATAAGTTTTAAAAATGTGTTTTTTTAAAATTTAACTCACAGCGGTAATATGTACATTCCTAGCGATTTGTATACATTGTTGCATTTGTGGATGAAAGTGCTATACATGACTTCAAATGAAGTTTTTCAAAAACACAAAGGATTCCTGTGAAAAAGAGCTTTAAATTTCGCATTTACAGTGCTACAATGCCATTTTTGTAAAAACAGCTCCAAATGTTTCAATGAATATTTCCATATACAACAAGGTTTTACTCTTCTTTAATATTTTTAAAGTAATATTTGGAATCTACCGTTAGGAAACTGAGAAATTGAGAAAACTTTAAAAAATGTATTTTAGGCCGGGTTAGATGGCAGGTGGCAAGCAGATGGGGAAAGACTGTAAAGATAGCAACAAATCTAGTTAATATTTCTAAGAGGTAGGTATTTCAAGGTTATCAAATGAAGCAGTAGACTTTTGCAACTAAAGTTAATAGAAACTAGGCTGTTTGAGAGACGCTGCTACCTAATAATGGTTGTCATATTGCAACGTTCATCAGAGCTAAATGTTTCACATGTCTAAGTCATGGTCCAAAACAGATATTAGTGTGGTTTTAAGCTTCCAGGTTTTATTATTTTTACAAATAGTTTCTCCCAGATAAAAAAGAACTGATGGTTAGGTATAGAATTAACTTGAGAAAAATGTATTGTCTTTGTGTTCAAATTGTGTTGAATTATATGTGTATTGTTGTATTACATATATTTTGATTAATAAACTGGTTGAAACCATTGAAAATTCTTTGAGAAACATAATAACTTTTGATACAACATATAACACAAGGTTTCTTCTGTTATTTATAATTGGTAAAATTATTATAGAACTTTTTTAAATTTATTTATTTAAGATCTCTTTTTAACAACAAAGTTCATCAGTGACCACAATTAATTATAAAACTCTTTTATTGTATTCTTGGCTATCTTTACATTGACTCCGAACAGAAGCCTACGAACCCCTCTTTTTATATTGTATTATAAAATTTGTGTTCAATTATTTCAGTATTTTCTTGCAAAACTTTACCCACATTGCTTGAAATACATTAGACCTTTACTATATCAAAGATGTGAAATTTTTTGAAAATATGAGTAATTTGCGCAATATTTTGTGTGAAATATAGGCAATTTTTTATTTGGATTTTTTATTTTTATATGCACAAAATATAGACAATTTCGAAAACGGCATACTAAATATTTTCTTTAAATTTTATTGTGTGTATCAAGGGACAGTAAAAAAGTATGCGGCTAGTCGCATTTTCAGTATTTTTGAAAATTGCAAAAATTTAACATTTCAAAACTACAAAATGAAGATAGAAATTTTTGCCATAGATAAAGTCTATTCCAAAAAATATGCTTTTTTAAAAGGTAATGTATAGGGTTTTGAAAAACAAGTAATTTTTATGTAATTTGGGCTTGAAAGCAATGCAATTTATAACCACATTTTCTCTAAAACTGCCCCAAATTTTTCTACATATGGAAGATGTGCTCAAAAGAATGATGCGGGTTTCATTTTCATTGAACTCTCTAAATTTTCGGAAATTGCAAATTTAGAAATAATGCAAGAAAGTGTGTGCTGTTGTAGCACTACTAGTTATATGAAACTAGTTGTGCAACAATAGCAAATACTTTCTCCCATTAGTTTTAAAATCTTCAAAATTAGATCTTTAAATGATGTGTATTAGTTTTTGAAAATCTAAAGTTTTTGTATAATTTTTTGCAAGTTTGTGCCATAAAAAACATAAAATAGATACTGTCAAATACAGTCCTAATATTTAAAGAGAAACATTTTTGTGTAATAGTGAAACATGAACTTAAAAATATGGTTTGGCTCTAATATGCATTAAAAGCTCTGAAATTTTCTAAAATTGCAAAAAATTAAAATTTTTCTTTTAACTTCTCATATTTTGAATCTGTTTTGGTTAAAAACCATGAATATGAAAGCTAGTTTTTCTTATTAATGAATTTCTCAATTTTAGTTATTTAAATCATTTCATGCACCTTATTAAAATATTAGTTTTCACGCAATTTTGAATTATATCATGAGAATTTTGTTGGATTCCACAATCACTGCAGTATTAAGAATCAGTTGCAGAACTGATTTGAGACGTACAAACATTGGTGTGATCAAGGTGTCCAATTCAAAAGCCAAATCTGTGAGGTTCAAATCCTTGTTGGAGCAAATCATTTTTCACTTTTTTATTTTATTAATTTGTATAAAGATATAAAGTATGTATTCTGAATTCAGTGGCAAAAAGATACATATTCTTTCAAACCTCTTGCTTTTTGTTGGTTGAGAGTTTCTGATGGTTGAAATGTTAATAGGGTAGAAGTTACAATAATGTATGCTATATTGACCTACTAGTAACCAATACCAATGCAAGAAAGTATGTGCTGCCTGAAGTGCCTGATGTCACTAGTATATATTTGCGTTACATGAATGTTATGTTTTATGTATTTTATATGTTTTGCCCGGTCATTGCAATGATTTCATCTACATTAAAGCAATTTTTTTCTAACAAGTCCTTTTGAACTATTATTCTCATCACTTTCTATTATCTCAAATTATTGACTTGTTTGCAGACTGCAGAGTTTCCACCCAGGAAATTATTATTTTGAGTATCAGAAAATTCTCTTGCAAAGCCTTCTGAAAATGTTCTTATTTTTACAGATGTGTACGCTGTATTTTTATACTATAGCTATTTCTTCATTTCCAAAAAAAATATTTTACTGCAATGATGGTAGCCAGCAAGAAGAACATTGTTAGAAATTGGCTGGAAAAAAACCATGGAGGTTAGTACAGAAAACAATTGTAATAAGATTCGCATTTCTATGTTTATGTGAACATCAGCTTAATTTCAAATTAATTAGGGACATTTGGAATTTCATCAATTATTAGCATTTATTATTTTCTTTTAAAATATAAGAAATGAAGTATTCATTGTTGATAGTAGATAAGTGAAAAACAATTTATAAAAATGTTAGTGACTTCTTTTCTAAAAATTTAAAATTGTAAAGTAATGGATCACTACATGTAAGTTTATACCAAGTTAAGTTTGATAGTTTTTTAAATATAGATGATTCATTTTTTCCTTTTTTTCAGGTAAATTTCTACATGTTACAAATGAAAGAAAGAGAAATACTCATTGTTTTTATCAATGTTACATTGATTTTTGCAAACTTCAAAACACTGCACCTTCTTCAGCAGTAAATTCGCAGACTAAAAAGAACATGTTAGATGTTTATGGTGACAGATTGAAAATTGATGAATGGGCACCTATTCTGGAGGCATTAAAGCTTGATAGAAACCTTCATTTCATTGCATTTCGCAGTAGATATAATACTAGAAGAGGTAATATTTTAAAAGTCTTCTTTGTAGGAAATTTAAATGGAAAAAAAAAATAATTACAAAAAATTTTTGATAGTATATTTACACAATATTCTTAAAAATTGGAGATAATTTTTTTGACTCACAAGATATTCTGATCTTACCACAATGTAATGTTAATAAATGTAAGTGTTATAACACTTACATTTATTAATTGGTCCTATTGCTTTTTGATTAACCTTCAACATTGAACATGTAGTAGCCTATTTATATGATTATTTATTAAAACTCCCTGTTTGTTATTATAGGAGTTTGTTTGTTTTTTGTTGCAGTCATAGAAGAAGCCAATACAGTAGCAAAAGCACGCACAATTACCAAACAGCCTGTACTTTTATCAAAATTCATCCTGCAATTACTCATGGATTCTCTTGCACAATGTTTAGCTAAATCAACATCAGTCACATGTATTGAGTTGGATGGCCTCCCCATAACAAAGGAATGCATGAATATTTTTTGCGATGTAATAAATGTTTGGAATAGAAAATAATTTTGAGAAATTGTGAGAAAGAAAGTTATTAATACAGAAATTTATTATATTTTCAGGGAATAGCATCTAATGTGTCTTTGCAGACAATTTCATTCTGTAACAGCCAGATTGGAGATGAAGGATGTAAACAGATGTGCCTGCTAATGAGAAACATGCCTTCAGTCCTACATTTGGACTTATCAAATTGTGATCTTACCGTTGAAAGCACAATTGCCATTGCTGAAACTTTAAGGGTATTGAGATAAGAGTGGACTGTTAAATATAAAAACATAGTGAAATAAAAATATCCAAATTGTAATTTAAATATTTATTTTCAGTACCAATACCTTCAGTGTTTTGCAGAAGGTTGGAAGCAATCGTTGCGATATTGTGAACCTAATATAGAATCAATGCCTGGTCTAAGAAGAATTATTTTAAATAACAATGTGGGTATAGGAGATGAAGGTGTAAAGAAGCTCACAGATGCATTAAAGGAAGACCTTTGGATTAGAGGTATTGATATAGACAATATTAATACATATCAGAACAATCATTTAAAATGTCTGACTTTCCAAACAATTCATATGTGGAATGACTGTGAGTATAGAGCAACAAGGCTCTCAAAACTATGGTATGTATACCTCCAGGGGAGTACTATGGTCTTGTATGAGGAACAATTTCACTGGAAGAATTTGAAGAGTGCTTATCATGTTGCAGTCCAAATTTGCAAGATATTGAAATTTCAGTTATTTTTATCTATCCAACTGACTGTTACAAAATAAGTTGGAAAGCCTGTAGCCTGTACATTTTTAAAAATCTCAATGAAATGAAATAATTCCTTAATAATTTAGCCAGACAATAACATTATTGAAAACTTGCAATTTAGAGATGGTGGAAGGGAGAGGGGGAGGGGTGACATTAAACTTTTAGTCGTGAGAGGGATACAATCTTTAAAAAGTTTGCAAACATATGCTAATAACAGTGATAACAGATTTTTGTGCTTATTGATTGCATTTTTTTCAGCCATAGATTTGCAGAATTGTGGAATCAGTAATACAGGAGCCCAGAACATTTTAGAAATTTTGGATATAAATAGTACATTATGCATTGTGGATGTACGTGATAATAAGTGCATTGATGATGTAATATTACATAGAATAATGTTGAAACTTTATTTCAACAATTCCAATAAGGATGCACACGAGGTATAATTCAGTTGAATGGAATAAATCTCTTAGGGTAGACTAGTGCATTTTTTAAGAGATTTGTGTGTTTTCAGTACAATTGGATTATTCCACGATCTCATGTGACAAACCCATCCTTCGTGTCCACTATCACTTCGAAGTTTAGTGTACAGACAGTAACCAAACATGACTCATATGATAAAAGGGTGTCAAGCATGGAATCTCAATCAACAAATCAAAGGTATAACTTTATTAAAGGAAGTATCGATGTGAAAATGAAATTTCTATAATATGTATATTGCCATTGCATCTGTGCAAATGGCCATGTGATATGAAAATCACTTTACAAAGAGACATAAAGCTCTCATATAATTATTTTTCTTTGTTATTACTCAATTACTTATAATTAAGGTATGAATTCTAAGTAGTATCTTGCTACATACAATAAGAGTATTGGTTCCAAACTTTTCTTATATTGTACAAGTGTTTTTATAAAGTGATATTTTGCTCTTTAGTGTAGATAACAGACTTTCACAAAAAGTAGAGTTCACACAATATATCTGTACACCCAACATCTGTTACATTGCAAGCGTTGGCATGCAGTTATTGGTTATCGAGTGTACAGGTATCACCTGCAAACTCTACAATAGATAGTTTTGCAGGTGCAACAATAATCCTCTTTATGTATGAGTATATGTTGTGTCTATATGTTATATTCATGTCATTATTTAACACTAGAAATACCAAGGAATTGTGTCCATGGTAAGGTGTCCTGTTAACTGAGGGGGGCATGTTTTTGATATGCCATGGTTTCTGACTAATGAAATTAGTGGTGCTACAGAACGGTACAGACCTTCTTATACTAAAAGTTTCTACTTTCTTGGAATTGGGCTCTCTCTATGATCTTGCCCCATCCCCTTGGCAGCTGCTTAAATTTTTTTTTCTCCCCCAGTTTCCTAAATATTACTGAAATATTACTTTAAGAAAATTAAAGAAGAGTAAAAGTGAATGCTATTTGGAAATTGTTATTTACAAATTGAGAACTAACTAAATTTAAAAAAAATATGTTTAAGCATTACTGTAAATTTTAAGCTCTTTCACTCCGAAAACTGAGTTTTTGAGAAACTTTGTTGGAAGTCATTTAAAGTACTTTCACTCACAAATTCAGTAATGTATACAAATCACTGAAAATTAGCGTATAAACAGCTTCAGAGGTATTTCATGAAAATTACACTTTTAAAAACAAAAGAATTCAGAAAAATAAATTTTGTGTCATTTTAAACAGCGTATTTTGCACTATTCAAGCAAAATTTTTAAAGACGAAATTTGAAGCTGTTTTTAAGAAAATGGCATTTGAACCTTTCTGAAACCATAGAATTTCAAGCTCAAATTCTCACAAAACGTGAGTTTTTGAGAAACTTTATCAGACATCATTTGAAGTACACATACTCATAAATGCAATAATTTGAACAAATTGCCAATAATTTAAATATTAAGGATGTGAGAGACAAGTCAAAATAATTATATTTTTATAATTAAAAAAAAACGAAACAAAAGAATAAAGCAATATGGCATTCATGTCATTTCATAGAGTACATTTAGCACTATCCCTCACACAAGAGTAAAGGTAAAATTTGGAACCGTTTTTGAGAAAATATTGTTTTTGGAATTTTTTTAATATTGCATATATTTTATGCATGAAAACTATTAAAAAAAAGAATGTCCACAACTTTAATGAAAGAACTAACTATGGAAAAAAAATTTTACTTTAAAGAAATTCTCACTCTTAAATTTCGTAATTGTAGGAATAAGCTGAAAAAATTTCAAACTTTTGAAATTTTCAAAAATTCTGAGTTAACAGTGAAAAACAGACCTATGCCATCTTTATAAGTGTATTTTTATCTAATTTTTAAATAAATGTGATGAAAAAAATTTGGAATTTTTTTTGAAAATGTCTCTGAGGCTTCATGTGAAGTACCCCCAAATTTAAAAGAATGTTTTTTAAAATGGCAAAGCTTTGAGGTGATCAGGGAATATCCATTTTGGAAAAATTTCTACACATTGTTATGTGCTAGGTGTTCACAGACAGACAGAGATTTTGAAAAAAAACACATTTTTGGAATCAATGACTCACAATTTCTGAAATCTGACTACATAACCTGTTAGAGGGAGTAATTTTCTACATATTAGATCAGGATTTATATAATTTTTTTGTAACAAGGCCCCGAGTTTTTTTGTTGAAAAATCGCTGTTTTTACCGCAGCATTACTTAATTTTCCCTATATTACTTATTTTACTCTGTATGTAAATATGGAGTAAATATATATGCATATGTATACGAGTAAGTAAAAACATCAGCTTTCGCAAATCAATATTTGTAGTTCAAGACAAAATCTATTACATTTTCATATGAAATAAAGGCTGATGTACCTTCTTAACACAGTTTAGTATTACACTATTTTGTACTAGCACTTTAAATACTACAAATATTTCCAAAATGTATTCTGAACGTTCACTTTTTGAGTCTCAAATCTTTTTATTCACAGCTAAAGATGCAGAAATAATCCAAATTATAACAAACACTAGTGATAAATTGCATAATTTGATCAAAAAGGATATCATAATGAATATTGATTTTTAACTCCCTAAAAAGATTGATACCTATAAAAAACAATCAATCATGAGTAAGCCTCTGATCCTTCCCTCCATACCAGGAAGTGCTATGGTTAATACATTCAAAAATATTTTTCTAATTTTAAAATCCCCACAACATTATTTGCTAATTGCACAATAAATACTTTGAGCTTTGCAGCCATCTAAAATGAAAGATAAAAGATCTTTTCTCAAATTGTGGTGGTGTGATATAATTGAACCCAGTCAAGTAAGAAAAGGCTATTGATATTCTGCGAGTAATCTCCATATGTAGTTTACTGACTAAAATGGTTGTTCGAGTATAAATCTTATAGTTGACTTTTTTGCAGGAAAAACTTCAAGAAGCTGAATACCCAAAACCCTGCCTTGGTTAACTTGAAAAAGACTAAACAGCCAAAACCTGCTAAAATAAATTTTGATGTTCAAGAAAAAGAGAATTTGTTAGAAGAAAGTGAGAAAAATTGTTTTTGTTTAATGAACCAGGAAGCATATGATGCTGTGATTGAATCTTTGGGAAGATTTAATGAGTTTCTGGATTTAATACAAAACAAGTATGAAAATATTTGTAAATGTTGTGCTCTGTTTTATTGCAGTGCTGAGAGATTTTATCTAAACAGAAGTAACTAAAGATGTAGTTTCTGCAAGGGGTAGGGGGAGCAGTTTTCCCCACCTAGGACCATTGCTGTGGTGACATCATAATGAATATTTTTACTTAAAATTGGTATAGAATTTGAATATTTTATTTAAAAATTACAGCAGTCAATTTTAACAATCATTTTGAAATACAATTTAGTTAAGGGCACCTGAAAGAGGTGTTATCAGATAATGTTAAAGGCAGTGGTGGCTTCTTGGGGTAGGCAAGATAGACATTGCAATCCTTGATGAATTTCATAATAATAAAAAAAATGAATGCCTCTTACAATTTTAATACGATGTAAGTATTATTCACTTGGATATGTATAATATATAATATTTTATTATCACGGCATGAGCCATTTTTTCCATTTCAAGCATTTTCTATCAGCCCTTTCAGTATGCCATCAGTCTCATCTCTTCCTGCAGACACACGCCTCTCAGGGTAGGTAGTCTCCGGCACTGCCTCGCTTTGCACATATTCTGAGAAATGGTCAATTCACGCAAATAGCTGACAGGTAGTGAAGATAAAGCTAAGCTTTATTCTTGTCCATGTCTTTTATTGTCAGTTAAGGAGAGAACTCAAATAGAGCTGGATATTTTGACATGAAAAATTTGATCAAAAGCTATAGAAAAACATGAAATGTCAAAAGATCACATATGTAATTCAGTAAATCTTAAATGCATGGAAAAAAATTGAGTCATATTTCTGAATTATTTGACAAAATAGAGCAACACAAACATGCAACACTTTTTTATAATCTGAATATCATGAAATCATGTTTGCGTGTGCTTCATGGAAATAATGCTTTGGAAATTGGATTGAGGTGGGTTGTGGCCCCCATATATCCTTCCTGGTTCTGCCACTGTTCAGCAATCTGCTTTGCCTACACTGAACATTTTTTCATGAGTCGCCTTGGTTTTGAGGAATATTTTTTTATGAATTATTGACGTTATCATCTTCAAACTTTAGTTCCAAATTATTTAAACAATGTTAACACATTTATCTATATTTTTCAAAATTTGCATTGTTTGTGATATTCTTTTAATGTGTGAAAAATCCCCTAAACAAATTGCGATATTTTGACAGTTATTTTAATGAAAATTGTGTATTTTAAAAAAATATCCTCTTTAATTATGTACATGTACATGTGTTAAATTAGATTTAAACATGTGTTGGGTATGAGACAAATGGAAATTGAGATAATCTTCCTTTTATACTGAAAATTTAAACTTTCAGAAAGTAAAGATTTTCAAAACATCCTTGTGCCATACACTGGATTGTCAGTCTTTGTTTTCTGAAAAATGTCTAGTAGCCCTTGTCTTTCACACATTTTTCAACATTCATTCAAGTTTTTTGAGGTGCTTCGATCTTTCTTCTTCTTTGTCTTTCATCACCTTGATTGTGTGTGAACCTGTTTTTACATTTCATCTTCAAAATGCTTCATTTTCTCATTCTTGCTAGACACAACACAATTGTTATATGAACCAACTTATGAACACTCAGGTCAACCAAAAGTAGCATCAACATAGTACCAATACAATACCAATAGTATTGAAAGTGAAGAGAAAAATGTGCGAAGAGAGTGACATGGCCATGTCCTTTAAATGAATGGAATTTTAAAATTAAATTTTCAGATTAATACAAAACGTGCTATTTTAAAGAGCTAAGCAGAAATTTATTCCCTGAAAAGGAAAAAATCGACATTTTTACCCGTCACCCTTTCTCATGTACCCTTAAGATTTTGTCTATTATTACATATTATTATACTGATAAATGGAGCATCTTCTGTAATTGAAATAAATTTTGAGTTTAATTGTATTGCTATTGAATTTTGCTGATCATTCATTGTCATTTCTCATAACTATCTTATTTATATAATAAGTAAGAAATACTTTCAAAGTACCATAAAAATGTGTTACTTGGTTCCAATTGTAGGTAGCTTTGACCTACATTTAGTGGTGATTGTTATAAATATTTTGAAGATAGGCTTTCCTTACTAATGGTAAGGCCTAATGAAATTTCCATTTCTGTTTTTTTTCGGGGATTTTTAACTGTTGTGTGGTAAATGTTTTAATGTACTTGAATAAGAACACAGCAAGTAGGTTGAACTATAATTTTAAAAAAGTTTATTCCAATAATGAAATAGATGTAAGCATATACTATTGTGTTTACGATAGGTTCCATTAGAACATCGTAGGCCCCTAGTTGTAAGAAATGATAAAGAGCTTTCCTCAACATCTCATAAGAACATGTAGGTACCACAGACCATAAGTGAAGTGAAGAAATTCAAAAAGAACATGGTATCTTCAACCTTATACCTTGATTTATTAAGATCTGCACTTGGCGGGTCATCAGCTGTTACGGTTTTATCCAATCAGGAGCTTACGCATCACTACAGTGACATTCAACCTCCCGATTGAATGACACGACAACAGCAGATTTACATCAGGGGCAATTATGTTTAAATCCAAATATGACAAAATAACAGGATATGGAAGGAAATGACAAGATCACTTTGAAACAATGCCTCAGGACAGAATCCCCCCCCCAAATAATAATAATAATAATAATAATAATAATAATAATAATAATAATAATAATAATAATAATTAATAATAATAATTAATAATAATAAAGTATCGAATAAATGGGAGGAGAAACATAGGAACACCTAAGAAGAGGGAGCAGGATCAAATGAAATGAAGAAGGCCACCTGAGCATAAACCAGAAATGGCTGATGGTGTGAGAATATGTAGTGGTAATTACATAAATATTGTAAATCTAAAAATAATATAGAAGCCTAATATTTGTCCATTTTCACAGACAAATGGTGATGTCTCTTCTCTTTCAATTCATTGCATCTTGTTTTTTTCTTCTTTTTTCTTTTCTTCAGATGAATAGAAAACATCTGTGTTTAATTCTACACCTGCATAAAAAAGGTCTGAAAACTTATAAATAGGATCTTATATGTGGTTATAACACTACTTAGCACTGAAATTTCTAAAATTGCTTACTGTTTATTATCTGACACTCCATGGGGAGAGGTGCGCTAAATTTATCTGGGAGTGTAGCAGTTAAAAGAATTGTTATTAGATACTACATACACCCAACAAAGGCAGCTGAGTTAAAAATCTAGTTCTAGATGATTCGGTAGCAATCACCTTGTAGCACACATTGTTCAGTCGTTTTTTTTTTTTTGTTCAGAAAAAAAAATTACCACAGGACCCAGGTAACCCATTTTTATGGGATACTTTCCTGTCCATATTGTGTAGGCAAATATGTCATAAATGATCCACACAGTAATGTCACCCTTAATGTGATCTTGTTACTATGTAATATATTCATTTAATAATTCCAATTGTTTATAGGTTTAGTAGTATTTTTTAATATTCAATTTGAAAGAAGTGTCACAAATTTGAACTATTCCAGTGGCTAAATAAACTAGAAAAGAAATAAAATACATGTATTTCCTTTAATTTTGTTTCAGGAACTCATTTGCACAGGAACGCAATTGTAAAGGTGATGGTGATCATGCTATTACATACTTCAAAGGCAAAAATAAATTATTCAGAATCAGTGAGTTTGATTCAAAAGATGCAATGCTATCAAACATAGAATAATACCATATTTTTCGAAGAATTATTAATGAAAGTGTAAGAAAATGAAGTGAAAAATATTTTGCAAGGCCAAAGATTTTCAATTACAGTAGAGTACTAGTTGTCCACATGATTCACCATAATGGGCTTCAATCTGATAATAAATATTTATTGCCCCTTTCTCTCTAACATTGAAAATAGAAAACTTCAAAAGAAAATGCCCAGAAAACTTGGTGCTATACTGTACTTGAAACAATAAACATGAACAGTGCCAGAGAAACACTTACTGTAATGCAATACACATTTGAGAACTGTCTTGAAGGAGTGGCAAGATATGAAATTTTTAATATTATTCATAGTCATGGATAATACACCTATGCACCTAACATGTGAAATAAATATGTTTTCCACATTCTGTGTTTTCATTGTTGAAGAGAGAAAAATTTGGTGCTTGTGTGTGTTGGGATATATTCCGTCATCAAAATGTATTAGTTTATGTGTTCCATATTTATTGATTCTTGAAACTGATCTCTAAATACTGATTTGTATTATATTATCACAAAAAAGTAATTGGAAGCAGGATTGTACCATATATTAGAATGACCACTGGGAGGGCGGGAGGAGGGGAGCATGTAGTGGTATTATACGCGGACGTTTTCTTGAGCTTCGGAATACTTACCCCCACTCCTTTGCCAAATCCTTTGTATTAAGAATAAATGATAGCAACGATGTAATAAAAACTATTTTGCTTTGTGAAAAGAAACAAAAACTTCCCACTCCTTTCAGAACTAGCGGAGCGAGAGCGCAAGAAAACGTGCGCGAATAATATAAGGGATTGATTGTTTCTAGGCACATTCACTGTTGTGGTCATTAGTCCCATTAAAGTAATTTTTTATCTAGGGACGTTTCCAAGTTAACCTTTTCGAAAAGATTGGATTGTGTGTGTATGGTTGTGTAATTGTTTTCATGTATGGGTGTATACATGGTTTTCTGCATGTGATATTTGTGTATCGGTTTTTTGTGTGTACATGTGCATGTGTTTGTTGGTTGTGTGTGTTGTTTCCTCTAAGTATGGTTGTTTTGTATAAGTTCAATTTTGTGTGTATATATGTTGCACGTATGTGTATGTATATTATATGTGTGTGTGATTGCATGTGGTTGTGTGTAGGTATGTATGTGATGGCCTGTATAAATTTACGAATATAAGGTCCACATATACATTTTTTTCTTGTATACAATACAATGACCGGAAGTGTGCCGTGGTATACTATATTCATTGTACTGACTAACTTTTCTGTTCTCCTAACCATGAATAATAATTATTATAATAACTATAACAATAACGATAATAATAATAATAATAATAATAATAATAATAATAATAATAATAATAATAATAATAATATATAATATTTGGTCAATACATTTAGTTTTGATACAGTTGCATCAACATTTCTCAGAATGTTGTCAGGGTATATTGCTAATTTAACATGAACTTGACCGGAAACACATGGTGGCGGGACATGGAGTGGTTTATTCAATTCAACTAGTCCTCATTCATTTACGTTTGGGCCTTGGCCCGACTCACAAATGTCTCGCGATGGACCCACGAGCTCCAGCAACTCCATGTGGAGTTGGGAGTGGAGGCTTGAAATGAGACATTACCTGTATGATGTGTGATGTGGTAAGGTGTGTACTTTCTATATATTTTTGGCGTTTTATTTATCCTAGTTTATAGTTTTAATTTTGTTTGTTTTATTTGTGTTCAACAATCAATTGCATATATTGCATTTTGTCCTCATGCAGTGTTCATTGTTTACACTGTAGCCCTGATCAAGAAATTATATGTTTCGAAACGTTGGCGTAACTAATTGTTTCTCTAACCGCATTGACCAATCCCGTGAACCGATTTTAATACTTCGTTCTTCAATGGTCGTGATTATACAATGAACAAAACATACATCTTTGTATATAATACAATTGGCATATATGATTTTATATCAACATCATTGTCTTGCACATTGGATCAGATGTACTTTGTCTTTAGAAACATTTTTTTGTCATTACGTAAAACTACTAATACGCCAAATAGTCATCGTAAAAGTAGATTGTCCGAAAATGCAAATATTTGATACCTCTTGTATCTGATCCCAGGGTCTGCCGTTATTTACACATCTCTATCAATTAAATTATGGAATGAAACAGCATTAATCTCAATTTACTTCTAAGGAAAATGCAATCTATTAGCGTATTTGCACTTTATGATATTCCCTGTCGAATAGTTTAGAAAATGATCATTTAATAAGACCTAACATTGACTTAAGTATCATAAAACAAATACATTTGGAATTTGTACGGATATCACAGCACTTACGAGTACATATTTTTTAACATTGTATTAAGACATATGTGGTTTTTAAATTTGTAACTATTGAATTACGTCAGTCTACATAGCTCATTATTTTGAAACCACCATTAAAAATTATTACAAATTTCCATGAATCCTTCCATAAGATTGTAGATAGGGAAAGAAATTATAATATTATATTTATTTATACACGCACACACAGCAACATGCCATTTGGACCTTACGATTCTTTATTCTCTTCCAAATTGCAGTTTAGTTTAGAAAAGATGCATATACTAATAAGAACATAATTTGTTAGTTTAAAACGCATGTTATTTTTTTGTAATTCATCGCATTTTCATTCAGATCATACAATTGAATGGGTAATTAACTCAAAACTGTCTTACTCAAGGATATTTTCATACAATTCAGTTCTTTTCTGACTTCTCCAGCTGATCGGATTCTATACTTCAGATTGTAGAACAGGAGCCTCTTTGGCACCTGTAATGGAAACATGTTTGAAAAATCTAATGCAGAAACAATACACTCAAATTTCCCAAGCCTTGTTTATTACGGATGATACACTTTTGCGCATTACTTTTATAAAACAATGGCTTGTAAAGCTCTGAAGTTGTCTGAAACGTGCGAAATGACACCATACTAGATGGAAATGAATCAGTTTATGAACTAAACCCAATACGCTTGATAACAATAAACTAATTTGTTGTTTCAATTGGGTCGTATGGCTGGCAAATGCAATTTTTTATGAATTTGATAAAACATTCAAATGCAACATGCAGCAATTCCCACTCTATACTGTAACTTGTCATAACTCGAAATATTTCACTCACCTTCCCGGTCCAGAGGGAAACGAGACGAAACTTTTCTCTTTATCCTGCCGATCAGCGTTGGCGAATCCTGGATCTCAACATTTCGCCATCGTGATCTGCAACACTTGATAACAAAGCACACCACGTCACATTGCTCGCAAACGAAATGGCACAAACACTTTGCCATGTGCAACCACCAGGAAGAAATGAAATTCGAGGATGAAATGAATGGTAGAAGATTCGTAAGGTCGCACCGCTTCCATACGAGCAAATTTTTAAAGTAGCGTTTGAAATTAGGCGTGAACATTAAAATAGATGCCGCCACATGAAAACGCTAGTGTATCCTCTAAAATCCTCCTAAATGTGAGAGGGGGAGAGAAAGAGGACAAACGGGAGAGATGGAGCAATGAGAAAAACGGAAAAATGGGAGGGAAGAGAGAGCAGAACACCTGCCAGTTTCTGTTAACCACACACACACACACAGACAGACACACAGATATGTATCAACATGATTTATCCACTTTTTCATTACTAGGGCCCAGCAATAAGTTTTTCTGAAAAAAAAAAAAAAAAAAAAAATTCGCCGTGTTCCGGCGCACGAATACATTACTTTCTCTTCTTACAAAGAAAATGCGAGAAAGTAAAAAGTCATTGAATATACACTCATCCGTTATATGCAGCGCATTCTGTGAGTTAATACATTCGTTACAATTTCCTATGCAAAGTGATACGTCAGTTATCGTTATTTATGCCCGAACGCCTCAATTGTAATTATGTAGTTGTAAAGTTATTGAAGTAGTTAGGCGAAAGAGGAGGCCTGTTAGTCTGAGCCTCGCCAGAAATCGTCTCATCCTAATCAGTAGTAATCATCTCCTTCATTCAAATATCCATTTGGATAATTCCCTAAAATATATCGAAAGTTCATATTTATATTATTCCTCATGTATTTAACAATTTGAGTCACATATCCAAAACTAAGCAATAACGGATACCTTTGCTATCAAAACCAGCTCATTGCATTATTTACCAAAATTCCATTTTAACGAAGTTTAGGGGGTCCTTCATTATCTCACAAAGAGATATAGTTCAAAAACACCTTATTCCCATCTAAAACAACGTTATACTGCGATTGTCTCAATTCTGCCTCTGGCAAGTATCTGCTGTTTCATCCAATCGGGAACTAGTGACGTCACTATGGTGACGATCAATCTCCCGATTGGATGAAACCGTCATCAGCTGATACCTGCGAGGGGCAGAGTTGGAAAATCGCAGTATAAAACATGTCTCGCATACATCAAGACACGTGAGGTATTCCTACTATCTACTCAATTATTTATTATTGGGATATATTAACTTTCTATTCACTTTTATTAATCTTCTAATTTTATCATTTATGTTGTCCGACAGTTTTTACATTTACTATATTGATTACTTTAAAAGAATAATTTGCGCTGCACAGTTCGTCATTCTTCAATAACTGACAATTTACACGGATTGTGCAAGTATGGCTTCGACATACAAATGCATTACATTTTTTAATTTACTCTATATGTGGACTTGCAACTTTGTGTAGAGCTGTTATTTCTAAATGTTATACTGTTTTAAACATGTTATTGGAAAATCGATGGCACTACCACTACAATTTATCTTTTATTGCCATTTAGGCCTTAAACTTGGTTTTGTCAATAAAACTTCAATATTTATTCTAATGAAATTACAATCTTTAAACTTGAATCCTACTTCCTCTATACATTGACAGTTCCGTACGGTATTTCTTTCTGAACAAAGTTGGTAAGCTTAAGGAGGTATCTTTGGTGATGATCTTCAGGCCTCCTTCCTGGACATCGTCCAGATGTTCTCTTTGCACTCTTCTCGATCGCAGCAAATTCTACCAGCGGATAACGTTCCCAATATTTCCCGAATGTTTAAATTGCTTAATAATAATATTATCTGGTCTAATTTATTGAACAAATATGATTCGCGAACGCCCTTCCTGTGCTCCGGGTGAAGCGCCTACTCGCGACTTTATTTTTGTTTAACTTAAAGAAATTGATTGATTAATCATCCCACCTACGGTTCTAATCTACTATAATCTTTCACGTACGGAGTCTATTTAATTTTATTTATAACTCAAAAATTACAACAAATGACAT